AATGTATATAGCAGTTGCAAGTCCTCCCAATACCACTATTTATAGAAAATTCCGACTTCTACATAACAGATTTTTAATAGATGCACTACAATTACATAAACAATTTTTAAGTAATTTAGTCGTTTTCCAAATTTCAATTTGCCTCATAGTCCCTGAAGCAGAACATGTTTCAAAAATGTTCACATATCATTCACTTTATATATATAAATGTTCTTTACGCACATCTTATGTCCCCACAGAATTTCCAATAACCGAAGAAGAAATATGGACAGGCTGTCGCGCTCTCCAGCCTGGAAACCAGCTTCGCATGCCTATATGGAAAGGAATCACTTCAGCGCACAATAGCGCATTTTAGTTCCTCTAGTCCGTCGCTGATGAGTTATGCTATTGAGAGACAGAGACTCTTGTATCCTTAGTATGACGCGCGATTGAATTTATTTGTTCTGGGACTTTCTCAGATACTGTAGTGTTTGAGATAAAAATCAATGTTGTAGACAAATAGAGAAATAAGCATGGATAACATTAGGGGAAAAATTAAAAAAGTATTTTCGATTTTATCATAACAACATAATGACATTTCAGAATAAAAGCGTTCTATTGGACTTGGTTGAAAAAGTGGTCCGGTCCGAATCATTTTCAGTAGCATTCGTCCTTGGGCTAAAGTAAATCGGCGTACGAAATATCATCAAAATACCGCAACTTGTACATTAAACTCAAGCATACAAAATAGACGGACGGACGGACAGACAATCGCAAATCAACTCACAAACTGATTCCGAATCGTTCGGAATACTAAAAGATGGATCTCTTTGAAATCCTTTTCGGTCTCGCACACATCCACATAAACTTAATGCACTCTATATCATATATGTTATGGGGTATAAAAATTGCAATAAAAATTCATAAAAATATATTTATTCTAGTCATGAAAAATTAAGTCCTACGCTTATGTTGCGGTTGCCATTGCTCTTAAGTAATATTTTAATTCGCGATTATTATTGCAATTTCAGCTTTGAGCCACACCGTCAGTTTCGCCACAACAATCTTACCATAAATTAGCGATGGTCACATTAGTAGTATTAGTAGTGTTGGTGTCATGTGACAATTTATGCTGCTGGCTATTTGTTGACTTTATTTCAATCCAAGCCAGCAATCAAGCATCAGAAATATGTATATAGTTTTCAACAAGTTACTTACTGGTTTAGTCGAAGCTGAAGTTAATTTCGCTACATTATGAATTAAATGCATTGGTGTGTAAATGTTTCTAATGTTCACGTATCTACAATGTATATACCTAGCGACAAAAGATTATTCAAATTGTCACTACTTAACGTTTAAAAAAAGGCCAATTCATTCTGACTATATAGTGACAGAATCCTTGTTCATAAAAAATGAGATAGAAAGTGGAAATTGAGCACATACTTATCCATACCAACAATAGACAACAACCTTGGCGCACACATGCTTGAGAGCTGATTAATTGTTAATCAAATCCAAAACTCAAGTCAAAGCTGAACGAAAGCTTGAAAAACTTAAATGCAATATGCTTTTCATGGCAAATATTTGCGATATTTTCACTAATATGAACCCATTCCTTAAGAAGTCTTTGCAATTTTTGTGTAATTCCCCGAGGTGACAGGTGTTCAAAATTTGATCAGCAGCAAACATGCCTTTCCTCCTTACATCATTTTTATTGTATTTTATCAAACATAACACCTTTCTAGACTTGAGTAAGTGATCCAAAAATATGCAGAAAAACACATGTTATTGAATAGACTCAAAACGTAGAATCGGTGACCCCGGCTTGCTAGTTCTTTTCTTTCTCAATTGCGTAAAAATGCATTTTTTTGTGCAATTTTACGAAAATATATAAACAGTAAGAACATTATTGTCGGCTGAGGCCTATTGTATGAAAACAAATGCAAACAGTGATTAAAAGTGAGTAAGACTGGCCTTCAGAATGTGGATATTAATGAAAATATTGCAATAGAAATTAACTAAAGTAACTAATCACAAATATATATATATATATGAAAATATGAAAATTTCGATATATTTTCCATTCATTTCACACTTTTCGACTCCTTGCACCACCAACTATAGGTGTAAAACGTTCTCATCAGGTAATATAAGAACGTCACATGCGCAAATTTTCTTGAAAGTGTGTACAATACCTGCTGAACGATGCCGTAAGCATTTCTGGAAAAATTATAAATATTTATAACCATTATAAGGTTAACCTATTGACGTTAGCTGAATAATGCTATAAATGATTAAGAACTAATGACGGAAATTATGACTTTTTTTATTTTTTCGACTTTCTCAAACGATTGTGAACAAAATGAAAATGCCGCTAAAGTTTGAAAAATTGATTCTCGGACTTTCAAGCATAAGAAGAAGAAATGCGCAATGAGAAAGTAAAGTTTGAGAAAACGAACTCTCCAGAAAATCATTATCAACAATACATATATATATATAATATTGTTACAGAAATCCCAAATCCAGTTCATTTCGGATAATTAATGTTCCCATATAATAAATTCCCCGGAGAGGGAAAAAGTAAATGCACTTTCGCGGCGCGTCTTACAGCTGCGGGCCGAGGAAAACGAGTAGCAGGTTAATGGATTAAAAATAAAGCCATGAAATTAGGTAATAGTAATATGCTCGTAACAATGTATGTAAATAGAATATTTACGGAAGGCAGAAAGTTAGCCGGACAAGAACATTTGAGTCGAGACTACTGCCAAAATAAATTGTGTGCCAAACCTACTGTTAAGGAATATAATTGTAAATAAAAGAATTTTTAAGTGTATTTCTCTTGAAAGGAATATCCACGACCTAGTGGTACGAGCCCTACCTTAGAAAAGCGAAATTCATAACAATATAAATAAATTTCGATCCTTAGATAACCTGCACACCACTTCGTCTCGCACAGTTTTGGATTTAGTCCCTAGACTAACGAAATTGATATTATTTAAGATAAACGGAGAACCAATAATTTTGTTTATCAATTTTTTCATGAAGGTAATGGTAAAGATATAAACGATAATTTACTCCTTACGGTGGCAGAAGGTTCAAACTTGAAAAGATTCGATTGGGTTAACACGTCAACGATACCAAAGTAATCATGCAACTGAGACGTATTCCGCTATACGCCGTGCTAAACGCACATATAGTTTTCTTGTTACCCATGGTTCGTCGAATCCTCTAAACCAATGTCTAATAAGGCCTAGCACCGATTTAGATTATTCCATATGTAAATTCAATTAAAGTTTATGGTTGAACAGAACACCTAGATCCAAGGGCAAGTCCACATTGTCCAACTCGTGTAAATCAATAAAATATTCCGCTATCAAATTCGTCCTAAATCACAGAACAACATACTCTAACAAAATATATGCGATTATTTTCTATACTATCTGAAATTATTTCTCACTTCCATTACAGTTCGACACAACTGGTACGGATTATTTTCTATACTATCTGAAATTATTTCTCACAAATAAATATTGTGGCTTGGTAAGGCCGAACTTTATATATCCTACTCCTATACACTTATATTTGAACGTTTCGAAGCCACCATGAACACCGCAGGTTCTTCATCAACAGATTCAGTAGTAGATTCTTCCGAAAAGACGTCATCGTCTCAATCGCCACAGGTCGAAAAGAAGAAAAGTTCGACGATAACACTTGTGCCAGAAGAAACGACAACTCCGCATGCCGCCAGTAAACTACCACCGGATGGGGTTGTAATGGAAGACTTAGCTGTCGCCGATGTCGCTGATAATATAGAAATTGTAGAGAATGAAGTGATGGAAGAAATACTGATAAATTACTTGACATCAATGGACATAGGAGGTAGGCGATAGGGTCTAAATAGCAGACATATGGGATCCAAATTCCTTCTGCTTATTTTTTTCTAAATTGTTACTAAGGGGCCATATTTCCTTATAAAAATTAAACCTTTTTCTGATGGGCTTACAATTCTTTAGAAATTTTATATCGAATGAGGTGTAGAAATCGACTCATAAGGCGGAAATTCGGCCCATTTTATTTTTAAGTTCCAATATTATCATGAACAAATTTTCTTCATCGAACATTAACAAATAAGCCTCTGACATATAAGGGATTTACATTACCTGAGAATCCTTATGCGGTGGTATTCAAAAAATGGACGTCCTTGCTTCAAATTCGATGGGGCTGATTTCTTTGTCAATTTACTATTGTGAACTAATTTTCACCATGATGTATTGAAAGGTATACCTTTTTATCATACAAATAATAAGTTTTCATAGGAGCGGTTATAGGAGAGGCGGTTCACAAAAATCCCCGGCCGAACTAACTTCTCATACCAATTTAAAACGTCGAAGTACTATCTATCACGCAGCGAGTTTTGGCAAAAAAATCTTAGTAATTGCAATTTTTTAGCCCTAAAAACGGGCCGACCTTAGGCCAGAATACGTCCTTGTACTCAATTTCATCAAAATATCTCAAAATTTATGACCAATAGGTTGAACGCGGAAATACATGGACAAATATCAAGCGGACAGACAAGTTTAGTAGTTATAAAAAAAAAGGGCTACCTTAAGCTCTTCTGGATGTTACATATGTCCGCACGAACTTTGCACAAGTGGTATAGGGTATAATAGGACATTGAGCACAGTTTTTGCAACTGCTTTGATTAAGCAAAAGGTAAACTTTGTAATGCAATTTTCATTATATACATTTTCAAATAGTTAATCTCCCTTTTCATACCAGTCTTCTAAAATATTTCATTCCTTTTTATTTAAATATTTTCATAATTTTATTACAATGTTGTACAATATTTTAAATTGTTTTTTAAATGGCTATCCATAGTGTAGTGGTTGTGCTAACGATGTTATAATAACGTGAGTTTGTGTGTGTTTAGATAAGTGTAATATATGTATATATATATATATATATATGTACGTGTACTACTAATGAGATACTAATAATAATAAATTAATGCAGGTTGTTTAAAATTTTAATTAAAAAAAAAAAAAAAAAAAGAATAAAAGATATATAAAAGCAGAAAAATCAGTTTAAATTACAAACGTAAGTAACAACAGTGAAAAATATCACAGAGATTCGTAATAAAAAACTCTGCGTAATAAATGTTTCAATTCAGTCCGATGATTGCATATTTTTTTTAAGCTCGCCCAATATAGGTTTGCTTTTTTATGGCATGGTTGCTTTTAACATCAATCGGATGCTTCACGTTTCTCAACTTTTTCAGATGATTCGCTTGCCAATGTTTCATTTCTTTCATGCCTTTCGCTTCGTGTTCGTAAGCGTAGCTGTTGATCAAGTTCCTCACGTATTTGAATATCTCGCATGCGATTTTCCAACTCATTGGTACGAGATGAAGACAAAGAAACATTCATCTCTGAATTGCTATCATTATTATTATCGCTGTCCATTGTGGTGAATTTCTTCTCTTCTTGGATAGATTCATTGAAATCACCATTTTCTGCAAAAAAATTTTTAATTAGCTCAAATTTTACTTTTCTCGATGCTCTTAAAATGCGTATTTATAATGTTAAGTTACTTAAGCACTTAGCTCTTTATCTTATATTTATTATTCGAGGGCTTACGTATACAAATTTTTGTGCCTAACGAAGTATACATAATAAATTTTGATAAAGAACAGATATTTTTATGCTACACAATACTTTAGCCCCACTCATCAGCAAAACTGAGATGAAAACCATGTCATAAATCATTTTGAACGGATTTAACGCAAAGTATCTGTCCACTTGTAATGGCCTTAAAAATTATTTGGGACTTTCAATTTTGTTTTTTTCCAAAAACTTCTATGTTTACTCGATCGACAAAGAAAAAAAGAGTGACAAAGTTCTAAAAAAGTATTAAAGCCATTAAGCCCTATGGGTAAATGGCCAAAAGTACTGAATAATCTACGAAAAAGCCGAAATTTTGAGTCCATTTCTTATCATCAATGGCAGTAGTAAGCACTGAAGATTCCCCGCAAATCGAGCTAACAGAACTTTCTATTCTAGTTTTTGCTGACTTAGTGGTTACGTCTCTTCGTACTTACCCAAACCGTCTGATGATGATGAATCTGACGAGGTGCTCTCATGAGGTTCCTGTGTCAGGGTTGGCGGTAACACTGATAGCCTAGGAGCGATTGGTCGTGATTTACGGGCCGGATTTAAGCCATTGCAATAAATACAACGAAATGTCATATATTCGAATTCTTCCTTCAAAGCCATACCTGCACGCAAACACAAGAGTGAAGTATATAGTTTTCATTTTTTAGCAGCCAGAAACCCTTTCTTACCATTGTGTCCGTGACATTGCTTACAAATCATTGCGAAACGATCTTGAGGACCATCACCAATCAGCACGTCAACAAGACGCTCAAAGATACTTTTATTGTTGGGATTGACAATAGGAAATGGGGTACGTCGACGTAATTGTTGATCCAGAGCCTGACTCGAAAACAATGATGAAGACAACGTGGGGCTTATCATAGACAAATCCGAGGTTAATGCGGCATTTGAAGTGCCAGTTAATACTGCACGTGCTGATAAACTAGCATTCGGCGTGGCAGGTGTGGGGACCAAAGTACCTTGCATTATTTTGCTTTGTGGTGAGACTACATTTAAAGTTCGATTTAATGGCGAGGCTGTTGTAATATGCATAGGAAGGGAGAAGAGAATTTTTTATAAAATATACTTTATCGTATTTCTTTTTCATTTTTTCAATAATTACCAAATGGCAGGCGAGTGGTGCTGCTCGACTTGTCGCCAAATCGTAATAAAAGATTCACGGCAACCTTATAGGTTTCTTTGTCCATCACTTGTTCGAGTATCTTCTTCTTTTCAGCTCTAAGGGCGGATAATTTCGTTGAATTCTTATTTAACTTGCGTTGAAAATACCATGTAAGTAAATAGCGTAACATTACTATACTAAAATGATAAGCATTTATTCGCAACATATATATTTGTATATGTAAATTCAGCTTATTATATACTTACACTACAGGAAAAATGAACAATGGCAGCGAATAAAGTAAACGATCGCTCCATGTTGAAGGAAAATATGCAAAATAAAATATTGCAAATGCTACAACGTAAACGCCTATAGATACTGCTAAAAAATTGCCCACAAAACGCTTCTTTTGCTCTTGTGTATTAAATGTGTATTTTTCCAAGCTTTCAATCTGCTCATGCAGGCTCTCCAACAATTGAGTTGTGTCCTGATTTTTCTATAGTAAAATATATGTTTGCAAAATTTTCATGTACATATGTGTAAGAATTTCACAGAAATACCCGAAATTTTGCCAGCAAAGCACCCATTTTGAAATATTAAGGCTTCCGAAATTGTTGCTTCTTACAACAACACCTTCGAGGTTTTTTCACGTTTGTTTCCTTTGCTTTGCTTCACTTTCTGCGGCAAACGCTTGTTTATATTTGAACTCTGACTGTGAATTTAAAATTTGCTTATTTGCATTCCTTTCGAAGGGTAAAAATAATTTAAAAAAGTAATAATACAACAGAAAACGCAATCACAGCTCACAGCACCTCTCCCACGGAATAAGACTAAGTTTTTTCTTTTGCTTTTTTTTTTTTCTTCAAGCAAATATATATTTTTAGACAGAAGAAAATTTATTCATAAAAAAAAAGACAGGAAAAACAAACCCACACATGCAGTGTTGCCAACGCGTTGAAATGTCAATTTAATTAACAATTATGTCGCATAAATTTTAAATGCAAAAAAAAAAAAAAATGGCTTATCCTAAATAATGCGCTAAAAAAGAAGGAATATTTGATGAAAACTTAAGATTATATTTTCTAAAAATTTTTGAATTTTGAAAAAAATGGATTATCGGAAAGAGATTTTTATAGAAGTATTGTTTAATGCATCACTTAGGCAATGTTGCAAACGCCTGCAAGTCACCTATCATATTATAGACTCATTAGTCATTCATCTTTACATAGCATGACTAGCAGTTGATTACATTTCTGGTTATTTAATTCCACTATTGCATTATGTATAGATGAGATTAAGACGAATTATTCCGAAATATTGCTTTTGACTTACAAAATAAATTCGCGATCATCTACAACATACTATTCTCGCGACCAATAGTGAGAAGATGTTTTAAACATTTATGAAGGTACACGTTTGTTTTTTCCCACAACTTATGTACGATCTGTTCCTCGCTTATCTTTCACGCCTTAACTTTCACAGAAGCTGCTTTTCCTCGTTTCCTCGATTCGTTATTTTATTTTGAGTTCATTATGAGCACAAGGTCCCACCGTCATAATGGACATTATGGTAATTTTCAAAGTCCCAAGCGATATTTCTTTAATTTGGTTAAGAGTAAAGTTGTATTGATTTATATAATCATGTATTGATTGTTTGTAAGGAGTCTGTCTGAGTGTGAAACACCTGCTGTTAGAACTAATGAATGTCAATAAATAAAAGTGGTATTACTTACAACTTGTATGGATAAGTCCTTCCTAGATTCTTCTGATTTTAGAGCGCTAGGGCTTGAATTGTTCTGTGATCACGTGTAGCCATACTCTCTTACTTTTCCTTCTATACCATGGACTATGTAACAATACGGTTTGAACTGAAGTTTAGACCATATACGTGTACAGGTAAAATACATACGTTATTTTTTTTTTTTCCCCGTATTACGAACTTCACCACAGATAGTAACGTGGTCACAATTGCACTTTCTTTTGTACAAAAAAAAAAAAAAACCAAACAATATTCTCAAAGCAGGCATAACTAAATGAATGATAAGAAGTTTTAACATTAGTTTCAAAAACCAAAACTAATGGGCAAAGATTCTGTTATTAGTTACTTGATATGACGTCGCACTATCTCACACATTTGTAATTCTTTGTTTTCAACTGAACATACGATATGGCTTATATGTAAGCATATGTATGTATGAAAATAAATCAAACATTTCGAACAGCTACTATTGTGGATAAGAGAAACACAAAAAGTCCGTAACAATCTACTGGTTTCAGTTTTGAAAAAGATGTTGGAACATCTGGACATTTAGTTGTTGCAAAGATGGTATTAACCATGATCACAACCAAACAATAACAATGGATTGATGTTACTTAAACTTCATAACATAAATAATCTCAACGTAATTTTATTAATACATTTTTCAAAGTTTCTTCTTCACACTGTTCACTAATGCATCTGCAAAGCTAATATGTTTCATGTTTGAAAAAAACTTTTTAAAATATATTTAAATCGCTTTGCAATTATAAGAAGGTTTTTGTAATATTAATACCATTGTTTACACTCATTTCAAGATAAAATATTGTAATTAATATTAAAAGCATATAATCTAATCAACTGTAGCGTACATGAGCTCCTCAATTCTATCTTATCTCCACTTTAAATATGATTGTCAAACAGAAAACAAAAATTAGGAAATCTCGTTTATGTGGTAGACAAATCATAATAAAAAAATTTGAAAAGTGGAAACTAAGCTTAAAATAAGTTGAATGAGAATTTAATGACTACACCGCGCACTCTGGCAAAAACAGACAGTTAGTGCATGACAATCAAACGCGTTGTTGAACAAATTTTTAATATAATCCAACGTATATTGGTGAAGACAAAGTGGAAGAATAGTGCTATGTCAGCTTTAAATGCTAACGAATTATTATTTGAACAAAAGTCTTTATATAAGCCACCTTTAGAGGAGCTACAAAATGGTCGGTGAAGAATTGCTCTGAATTTATAAAAATTGACACAAAATCAGGTGTTTTCGTTGCCTATCGAAAATCAACAGAAAATCTAAAGACAAGCAGAGAGAACGAATTTTTCACCTCTCTCAGTGTTTCTCTATCTATTTATTCTCAATTTAAAACAAGTCACAAAATTGCATTGCGCTGTCACCGAATTTTTTATACCCGCCACCTATGATACTAAGAAAAACTAAAACAAAAAAACAAAGCGAAAAAATACATTTTCATACTCTACAATATTGGGCGGACCTGACCGACTTTTGCATTTTTGTAAAACATACGTAGAATTTTTTATAGTGTAGCTATATGTCTACCTATATATAATGGGGAAAAACACTAGGAAACCAGAGTGGTTTTCAGTCTACTTTGCATTGTGGGCGTGTCGTTCAATTGATGTGACATGTATTCAATATTAAGAAATTACGCTGTTTTTGCCAAATTTGCAGCCGAAAGCTTCAATTATGTGAATAGGAAAATATTCGCTACAGACATAACAGAGAAATTACAGATCTGCTTACCTAGTTGGCCTAGTTAACAGTTCGTAAAGAAATTATTAAATGTCATACTGTAGTTATGGTTCTGACATAGTATGCAAAGTTTTCCAACATATCTCTGTTCCAAATTTTGGGTCGGATGGGTGCTTTCTGTCCAAGATATGGAATTCTTCTTTGACTGCGGGCTATGTGAGGCCAATCGCGGTAAGGTTCGTTGAAAAAACGAAAGTTTCGAAAGAAGAAAAGTTTTCAAATATATACATAAATATATATACGTATGTTTTTAGTGCTAATCGTTTAATTTTGAGTAAAATAAAAAAAAAGATTCTGCAGATGTGTGCGTGCAATGAGAAATCATCAAAATAAATATATCATTTTCAAAGTTTAAATGAGCCTGAATTTATTTGGTTAAATCGATTCAGTATTAAATGCTTATGAAGAATGGGATCTTTGGAGCTCCCGCAAACGTTTTAACTAAGTGAATATACCGTTATCCTTTGTAGGTATAAAAATATTTGATTTCCAGATAATGCGAATTCTTGCACGCACGTTGGTATTGAAAATGGGCCAATCCGGTCGAAGGACATGCCCACACCACTCCGTAAACTGCGAACTCCTCTGTTTCATAAAAGGAACGGAAAACTGGGTTTTGCTCATTATTCATAAATTATAGCAAATGTATATTTTATGGACCACGGCTACCCAATATTACAGTGTATTTAAATTTAATTGTTTTTTCAATACGTTTATAACGCGCAGAAACAAGCTTCAAAAACCCCATAAAGTATACAAATTCTTGGCTAGTTTCACATCTTGAATGCACGTAAGCATATCCGCCTGTTCGCCTGTCCATCTGTCTGTTCGTGTTACTTTGTAGTGTTTATGGTAAATATTCTTCCGTTAATGAAAATATCGGCTAAAAATTTGCAAAAGTATTTGAAATTGACCTAAACTTTTCAAAGGGCACGCCTACGACGTCCACATGCCTTCACGACAAAAACTTTTATTTTGAAAATAGAAAAAATCATCTGCTCTCCACTCCATATAAAGCATGAGAATTTGTAGTCTTACTGCTCTTGTCTTTTTTTGGGGTAAACGGTGATGGGTACAATAGATTCGGTCTCGAAAGAATTTAATTTTCTTACTTCTTGTTAATTCATTTTGCAGTTTTGCAATCAATTCTAACCAGAAATTTTGAAAATGTTACCGTAAACGTTAGCCAATGTCCAAATCTAAGTGCATCGGAATATGGATTAATGGACATAGGTAAGTTATAAGAAAACAAGACACAAATTTTTTTATTCATTTTCTTCTTTTTTTTTCATATATACTTAAGGTCTTGGCGGTTGTCCAACACTTTTGGAATTGGGTGGAGCGCCTTATTTGTTGCCGAAAGTTCAAAAAGATAAACTTTATGATATTAAAGCTATATGCAGAAAATCTATGGGTGAAGGAAAAATATTGGCAGGTACGTTCACGAGAATCTAGTAAAACATGATGACAAAAACGGGCCACATTTGTTTAGGAGGTAACACAACTGTGAGGTAGTGTTGTTTGCAGGATTTTTTTGAGATGAAAAGAAAGTTAATGGAATAAAAACACTTGTAGAGATTATCAAGAGTATATTTAAGTATTAAGAAGAAATGAATAATTAAAAGAAATTGAAAAATAATAACACCGGAGCCATTGTCTCATTCTCTTGCCTCTCATCTTTCCGATCGTCAGCGTGTTACATGAATAGTAGACATCGTCTGATTGGTCATATAATAAAAAAAAAGAATTCTCGCAAGCTCTGTTCCATTTAAGCACCTTTGCGACAACTGGTGTGAGCTTGATTTTTGAAAAGAAGAAAAAATAACAAGTAAGAAAATTAAATTTGGTCAGTAACTTTGTAACTTTGCGTGAGTGTGGGCGATTTTTTCCACTTTTGCACATAAAGAGTAGAGTAGAGACTAGAGTGGAAATTATCAGCCTTTTAACTTTAATAATTTCTAAGGAACGAGCAAAAATCCAAAAATTTTTGTTAAAACATTGCGTTTAGTTTACGCTCCATTGCGCATTTTTACTTCGGCCAATTTGGCCCATTTTCAATACCAACCTATGTGCAGAAACTTCCAAATTAAATGTTAAATGACAAAGCTATGTAGGGCAGATCTGTTAAATGCCAAGGCAATGTAACACAAATCTGTTAAATGACAAAGGTATGTAACGCAGTGTTTCTACCACATTTGAAATCGATAACTTCATTTTTGCTACCATGGGAGTGCTAGCAAGAAACTCCACATAGACACGGACAGACATGGCTTAGTCAACTCAGAATTTCACGGTGATCATGAATATATACTTTATAGGATCTCTGAAGCTTCCTTTTGTGGTTTACATATGAACAAAATGAATATGCCGCCATCTTATACTGGTGGGTGTAAAAAGGAGAAAGTATTCTTTGAAATCATATGTTGATTGGTTCTTTAAACTAGTCATTTTCTGTTAAAACAACCAATTTGTTAAGAATCCTCCAAGAAATCTGTTAAAGAAGTAAACAAAAAGCAGAAGAACAAGCAGAAAATGAAGAAGTAAAGAAGCACAGTGTCAATTAAATTTTCTTTATACAAATTTTTTTTATAATACTTGAGAGTACGTAATGATCGCTGATGGGTGCGAACACGCGATACGCATATGTGTATGCGTATATACAATGCATTAATGTATAATAAGTTTTGATAATTGGTATGCGATAAAAATAGTGAGGACACTTACCTGTATAATACTGTCATTTATGAAAATTCTTTTTGTAATGGGTTTATGTAAAATATTGGACACAAACCAAATAATAAATTACTCGTTTTGTAGCCAGCGAGTGTAATTGTAAAGAATTTACCAAATATTCGCACCTGGCAATTCCACAAAATAAAAATTTGTATACACGTGTTTTTTGTTTACATTTTAAAAACAAGGGCTGCCTGGATTTTCTATACCATTCAAAATAACTATCAATTGCCCACGAAACGCACTACAATCAGTGTATGAATTTCGCTATCGAAATGTCCCGTGTTATATATTGTACTTGCATTACATTAGCAGCTTTTTTATTTATGTTTGACATAATGATAACATGGTAACTTCCTTGCCTGTTGTACGACTTCGTTTTACATGAGTTACTTAAATTTATTTGTTTTTTAAACTAATTCTATTTAATACTGAAGACGATGCATGTAAAGAGTTCGTCTTTGCCTACATGGCGAATTTACTAACGGCAATATCGATACACATCAGTAAATATCACTAGGAATTCATGTGTTCAATATCGGTCTTATTATTTAAAACAGGTTACGGCGGGTAGTTTGCTAGATAGAGAAAATGAAGACAGGTAGTCCTCACGAGCCGACAAGGTTGATTTAATTTTTAATTTAAAATTTTTTTGTATTAACGATGCAATAGTGGGAGCTGGTGCCGGTCCGTATCCATTACGTAATACCAATTGTGAGGGCATTTTCAATCTAAGTATATCCGCTCAAGACGAAATAAAAAACGGCAGCTACACTGCAAAAATAACAGGATTACAAGAAGATTGCTTATTGGAACCAATACCGGATACGGAAACACGTTGCGCATTACTATTGAATTTATATGTGTGCCGAGGTGAACCGGGGCCAGTCTTAAAGATCAACTGCAAAAAGCGTACCGGACATATGAATTTTATTGAATGCATACGAAAAGGCTTGTACGAGAAATATCAAGACAAATGTGTGGGTGAGTAAATATTTTATAACGCTGATGAAATTTCCTTATGCCCATCGCAGAGTATATAATGTATTAGAATTGTTTCCATAGCATAGAAACATGGCAAAAACATGAAAAACCTTATCGAGTACACATATTAGTAATCAAAGTCAATATCAAAATCTTAAATATATCTTAGGATATACAAATTGCTGGATAAACGATGCAACAGTTATAGTTAAGTTCGCGCCGAGTATTAAAAAGCTTACTCACGCATAAATAGATTTTCTGCGTCATATTCTATTTTACTTATGGTACAATGGTATACTAAATTTTTGTGAATGTGTCTGGGCAGCATTCCCAGGGCTTGAGATAGATCCACCTTTTATTATATCGAATCATTCTCTGAATCGATCTAAGCTTGTCGGTCCTTCTGTCCGGCTTGTTTTCTTGTGTTCAACCTACAGATCACAATTTTTGAGATACTTTGATGAAGTTTGATCTATCGTCCTGTTTGGGCCTAATGTTGAAAACTACTGAAAATAGTTCAGATCGGACCGCTTCCCTTACAACGCTTCATTTCGAAAAATCGGTATAACTGTAGAGTGGTGTAGGGTATTTAATGATGGGCCGTGTCCCACTATAGTGTTTTTACTTGTTTTTCCTTTTATATTTTTAAGGTTTGGGTGGCTTATTCTTACTCAAAAATGGTAAAGCTCATCAGCATGTTATGCGTGATTTTAGTCGCAGCCCAATACATACGGAGAGTGAATTAAATCAATGGTTAAAATTTTTTGAGATGCCTGGAACTTTACACGCTGTGGGCACACTGGTGACGCATGAGCACGTAAGAAAAGAAAAAAAATTGTTAAACCAGCACAGGAGGAGTTATTAAAACTTTGTAGCGTCGATGTTGTACAAAAAACTTTGTAAAGTCCACATTTACCGGTTCCAAATAACTAGTGACATGGAATTAACTATGTCTGCTTGATCTCTGCATATCTCACAACACCTAGGTGTAACGAGCTTTAAACGCAGTCTAAAGAAACATATTTGACACCAAGCTTTTTCTTATCGATTACGTGATCTGTAGCCGTATAAACGGCTAAGTCGATGAATCGGTCCGCTTCTGATTAGAAAGTAGATAAATTTAACAGTTCTTTGAAATTCGACATTTTCAAGTTTAAAATTCGTTATATATATATATATATATATATATATATATATATATATAATCTATATCTATACATACATATAGATATAGAACAATACACATATACAATATATAAATATATATACATATATATATTGTATATATTGTATTGTATTGTACATATTGTATATATACATATATATACAATATATATATATATATACATATACATTAATATATAGCTTTAAAAAAAAGTGGACTATGTTAACATGATTTTAATTTACCACTTGAAGTTACGAATCGTTAAATGAATTTCTAGAAAAAAATTACATTTCAATCTCTTTGTTTTCACAGTTTTCATTCCAACTATCAAAAAGCTATATGTAAATAAGTCCGCGTATATATAATTATATAAAAATATGATTTAAAATATATATGATATACGACAATGTTACTGATATGTTGAGCGAATGAAATTTTTTGTCTTGTCTTGTCACGAAATATTGTAAAGAAATCCTTTTCTAATTTCTTTCTTCTTTCAATTTATTGTTATTTCTTTTTAATGCATTTGTCCCTACAGGATTTGGACTTACGTTTACAGCATTTTCATTCATTTTCACGTACAAAATGGGGTGGTCATTATCACTACGACACTACTCCGGACACGATAGAATATGAAGCATATTTTAATGTAGCTGAACGTATAGTGCGTGTTGACAAGCCGAAGACAACGCATAAATTTGGTAGAGATTAACCAGAACTTTTTATGAAGCTTCAAGTCTATTTAATATTTAATAAACTTATAATAATTATTTTTTTCTTTGTCTTTGTTGAAATAACTTATAAACAGAAGCCACAAAATTCTTTAATAAAAAAAAAAAAGAACATCAGACCTATAAAATAAATGCTATAATATTTGAACTTATATATAATAAGTAGTCATAACCTAAAATGTGACTCTTAACATTTGTATATACATATATAATTACGCTGGTCGTTAAATTGTAAGTAATGTCCATTGTGGTTGAAGAGAGTAAATAAATACTATTGTGGCACAATAGGGTGTGGCCTTGGCTATTATTATATTAATATAGCTGTTTGTCTTACTCTAATCTTAGCTCTCAATCATTGCGATGCGCATGCGCTTTCTCTCCTCTCTTTTTTTCTCCTTCTCTAGATGTTTGCACTGTATTGAAGCATTAATTGCAAATACCAATCAACTTTTGCTTACTTTAGCTTTTACGGGCAAACATTATTCTCTCGCTCTTTCTCTCTCTCTCTCTCTCTCTCTCTCTCTTTGTCTCACTATCTGTTTCTTCGCGTTTATATGATAACTTTTTGTTACTAGAATCACATTTGAATGTAATTTCTTTTTGGTTTTTTTTTTCAGCATTAAAAGGGAATTATTTTTCTTTGAAAAAAAAAAAAAAAAAAATGAAAAAGTTCACAAACTGCTTTAACGCTTAGCTGTTGTTGTTGTTGCAATTTTCTGTAAGTTAGCCATTATAATTTAACTTGTAAAGACATATCGTGAAAAGCATAATAATTGCGCAGTTATTTATTCTCCCAACGTGATATATATACGTGTTTCTGTACATATGATAAATGCGTTAAAGTTACTTAAAATATAATAATATTTTTATTAAATATTTGGCACAAAATGATTACAAATACTTACTATACACATCAATGGTTAAATAAATTTTTTTTTTGAAATAAAGCTTTCAAGCAAAAATGTAGAAAGAATTAAATATTTATTAAGAATTTTTAAAGAAAGTAAATGTAAAATATGAAACAAGTAAAAGCACTATAATTCCGCGACTCACCATTAAATACCCCACATCACCCTACAGTTATTTACATATCAAATTTTTAAAATAAGGCGTTATACGGGAAATGGACGAAAAAATACTTCGATTCATGTCATTTTCAATAGACTTTGTTCTGGGGTTAAAAGGTCCGAGTGTACCAAATTTCGTCATAATATTTTCAATAATGTCGCCTGTAGGTTAAACACAAGAAATCGAAGCGAACAAGCGGATCGGAGTATAGGTGGCAATCGGTGTAATAAAAGTTGGGCCTATTTCAAGTCCTTCTTTGCATTGCATACATCCTCACAAAGTTAAGATACTCTTGTACCACAAGTGGTGTAGGGTATAAAAGGAGGTTTGAAAACGTCGCTTACGTTATTTGATGTAAAAGAGCATTATTTACATAAAAAAAAAATCCTGGTGGAGGTGATTCCGCACTTAACAATTTATTGCTAACGAAATATCACCGACGCTTTATAAGAGAGGACAGGTTCGCTTGGAGATTATCTTTATGCTTAAATAGAACTTTACTGTAGGTGAGTGTAGAACAGCACATAAGGGCTACTTCCTTGTCGTTTATTTCTTGACTTCTATTGTTTGATTACGTTACATCGTGTAGGTGTATCGCTGTGTCGGTGTATGTGACTCTTTCATTTGGCGAAAGGTTTTTCTTCTGTGGGACAAAGGTTTAATTGCAACGTATAACTTTTTCTAAAAAGTAATCACAGCGGAACATTCTATGCTTGCGAGTCAAGTTGGGGTATCCAACTCTATTTTGCACTTTGAAAAGAAAATAAATCGAGAAGTAAGTTATCAAATTTTTTTTTTCTTAATTATTCATGTAATATTATGGCGCGCAATGTAAATGTAAACTTAAAAATTTCCATTAATGGTTTCGGATCAGAATATCGATTTTAACAAGTGAAAACACTCTACTATGATATCCCAATCATCACTAAATGCCTTGCAGCACTCTACAGTTATTCATATAACGAAATTCCAAAATAATGGGAAGTGGTCGGAAAAGCGGTCCGGTTTGAAACGTTTTCAACAACGTTCGTCTTTTGTTCAAAACATACCGGTGTACCAAATTCGATCCATTTCGATCGATCAGACGGGTCGACCAACATATGGACAGACAAACATGCCCGCATGGATTCCGAATTTGATACTTATCCATTATATATATATACATATATATATATGTATATTGGGACGTGGTAATTGGGTTTTTACATATTTGTACAAAAGGAGTTACAGAGCAAACGAGCAAGTTTTTATTTTTCTGTCTATTGCAATGAAGGCATTGCTGTAATGAGCAAAATATCCATCTATTATGGAAAAAAGTATTTTCACTTCGTGTTGTACTGTGTCCCTTGACTTATTTGGCCTATTCTCAATACCAACTTGCACGTAACAACGTCCAGTGAGCACGTTTACCCAAGAAGTTATACAGACGGACAGACGGACATTTTTAAATCAGTTCACAATTTGATATTGATCGCGAATATGTATAGTCTCCGAAACCTCCTTCTGCATGTTGCAAACATTTTGACAAATAAGTATACCTCGATCCATCGGTATTGAGTATACAAATATTAATAACAACAATGATAAGTTTTCAAAAGATTTTTATGATTTTCTATTTATGTACGATTTACAGTTTTTTTTCAAAAAAAAAAAAAGAAAAATTGTATTCTTTTGTTCGCTATTATGAAGATATTACAAGGTTTTACGTAAAATTTGTTAAAAAAAAAAAAATTCTAAATAAAAATTCTAAACACAATTTTATAATCATTTTTGAGAACTCTTTTCTTAACTCTTGTAAACCTTTTCAAATAATATACGAAAACGACTTAATTAACTTTGTAACCCTATGCTCGTCGAAAGATCTGCAAAACAGTTAAGTTTTTATGTTAAAAAAAATTCTTTAAAAAAATTATGACGAAGCCATAAATTTAGAATGTCAGTAAAAATTATTGACAGCCAGTTATACAATGTTAACTAACGTTAACTAAGAAGCGGAAAAAATCCTTTTTTTTTTGCTTAACTTCAGCCTTCCTTTGCGAAAAGGTTACATAAGGGTTATGTCGCTAGTATTACATGAGCAATCATAAAATCATTTCGTTTGTTAACTCATTTACTGGGAAGCTGTAAACTATACTTAAAAAACAAAAAAAGAAAAAACACAAATTTGCAAAAAAAGGCGAAAAGAAAAAACTTATTATTCAATCAGGAAAAACGACACAATACGAAATTTTATTGCCGAAATTGGTTAAAACGTGTAGATGTGAAGGTGAGGGGTTTACTGGTTACTGCTAACATACTCTCTAAAAGTGTACCCTTGAACTTGTATTGCATCCGTCTAATCTTTTATCAAATATAGTAAACTTTGGCACTAACTGGAGCTGTCTCCATTAACAATGTGTATGTATGTGTGTATGTGTGCGCATCAGCTAATGTGTTTTAATACAACATATCGGCAGCTTCTTGTTGCTACGCTTATCACCATGGCGTGGAGGTTTACCAACTTGCTCATTATATTTCCTTTAGCTGGAAGTACACCAAAAAGATTCAAGAATTTATTCGTTCCCAAGTCAGATCTTAAGGATTGAGAAGGGAAGATAATACAATAAATAAATTTTGGAAGCATGTCCTGAAGTGCAAGAAATACAAACATTAGGTTATAAGTAAAAACACTAAAATGGATCATGACCCATTAGATATCCTACACCACCCTACAGTTGGTAATGTAATGACCTTCAAAATAAGCCATTATATGAACAGCGGTTGAAAAAACGGTCCAATTGGAATTATTTTTACTGGCGTTTGTCTTTGGCTCAAGCTACGTAAGCGTACCAAGGTTCATTCCAATATCTCAAAGATCTACGGCCCGTAGATTAAACGCAAGAATATAGGATGGACAGACGGTCAGACAAGCTTCGATAAATTCAGAATCACTTTCACGGCATAGGAAGTAAGAAAAGATGGAACTACCTCAAGTTCTCCTGGGTGTTGCATACATCTGCGCGAACTTATTACACTCTCGTCCCACAAATAGTGTGGGGCATATGGAATGGATTAGGAAATGGCAAAACAGAGGTATTTTCTATTAAACGAACTCAGCCAAAAGTCAATTCTTGAAAAATTTACAGCAGCCTTACCCATCAAATCGATATAATATTTTCATATTGTCTGTCCGTCTATAAAAACTTCCAGGTGCTCAATAGGAAAAATTAACTTTCAAAACCGGAACGATTAGGCCTTGAAGACTTATAAAATAGTTTTTAGACTAAACTTGGAAAAAAACTGAATATATATATATATATACAGATAGACATATATAGACATATAGTGAGTTAAGTGTTTGCGTATCGGGCGAGCTAAGGGGACTGACACAATGAGGCGTTATTCCTATTTTCGGGTTGGGACTACAACTTTGCCGACTTGTTGTGGGAATTGACAAATCGTATGTGTTTGTATGTACACATACAAATAAAACAAGAAAGTTATGTTCGGCGGTGGCCGAATCTCGCATACCCATCACTATGCTGTTCGCATTCTACTCTCCAAGTTCTCTCGTTTGATACCCATATCGCTGGTATTATTAAGAAAATATTAATCGCGGTGTCTATTGTATTCATTTAAAAATTAACTCATGTTTAGGCAGATAATATACCTTCGTTTGAGGAACGTACAAAATAGTTTTAAACATCCGGTCTTGTTTGCCTTACAATAAATAAGCATAAAACCACAAAATAGTGAAAAAAAAACAAAATTTAATCACTTGTAACTTTGTGTGGGCGTTGCGGACGGATTGGTTCCATTTTTGCACGTAAGGAGTTGAGTGTTTCGTAAAGTACTTGTGGAAAATTTCAGCCTTCTACCTTTTATAATTTCCGAATAAAGAGCAACAATTACAAAATTTTTGTGAAAAAAAACGGAGCTGCGTTCAATTTGTGGTACACTGCGCGCTTCCGCTCCCACCGATTTGGCCCATTTTCAATACCAACACGCTTGCATAGACTTCCAATGTTTCTACCAAATTTGAAATCGATATCTTCATTTTTGCGACCAGGAGAATGCCTGCAACCAAACTCCATACCGACGGACGGACATGGCTTTCACAGTGATCAAGAGTATATATATATACTTTATGGGGTAAAAACAAAATGGGTATAAAAAAGCACAAGAAGTAAAGATGATTGTTTCTTTTAAATTTTAAAATTATTTATCTAATTTATACTTATTTTAAACTAATATACGTTTAGTTCATGGTACGAGTTGTTTTGTAAGAATTGAGGAACAAGCAATAAAAACGATTTATTTTAAAGTTGAAATGGTTTTATTAGGCAGTCATAAATGGTAATTTCCAAATTATGGTTCAATTAATGCACAGAAAGGCTCTCGATGTTATCATAAAAC